AATTCATCCTAACTCCAATTAGTTTATCAAATTTAAGTTCACAACCTCCAGCTTGTCCTCATAAAATAAAATCTTTTCTTCTTTGGAAGCCTATTAAATAAATATCAAGCTCTCTTTTTCTCAAGAGATTCTCCAATATGATTTTTTTTTTTTAAAAAAAATAGGGGTTTGGTGCCATTTTGAATAGCTGTTATTAAAGTATAAAGAAAGAAGTACTCTTCTTTGTCCTTATAGTTAAAAGCAGAAGTTGTTTACATTATGCAGTTTCAAAAAACTGCCTGTCCATTTCAGGTTCATTTGTAAATCTATATTTTATGCTACTTCAACTGGCAAGTTTATTTCTATTAATACATCTGAACATTATACAGTTCAGATGATTAAAAATAATATTTAAAAGATCTCTTAAAATTCAATAACGCCCATAACTGTAACTATCTGCCTCATAATCAATATTCAAGATATGATGCTGACTTCATGAACAGATCCAAGGCACACATTGGAAAAAAATGGCTGCAGCTGCATGTTAAAACAGATCCCAATCTCATACATCTAGAAATAAATCCTGCTGGCTTCAAAAAGAAACCCAAGTCTCAAGTACATCTGTTTTGGATTATATCTTAAACTTGGAATCTACAATATAGACTCATTACCAGAAACATTAATGCAAACCAAATTAAGAAGGTATGTATTTCCAAGATGGCACGTGCTATACTTTGATTTATTTATTAAACTTGCTTATAATGCCCCAATCTAATAATTCTAGGCAATTTGCACAATACATTATCAAAAATATTATGGTAACCACATTAGCTGTCATACTCTGCACCCGTCATAGTCTTCAAGACAACTCATATAATGTTTTGTGGAGCAATCCTATGCAGAATGTCAACTAAAAACAATGTTCTAATGAGTGGAAGATATATATGAATGAATAGCAGCTCCACAATGCAGGAATTTAGTCTGAGCTTTCTTTGTTCCCTGTGAACTCCTGACACCAATTCAAAACTTCCATAGCATATCTGGTCTGGCTGGGGGTTATGATATACAGCTGAGTATCATAAACATACTGATGATACCTTATCCCAAAATAACAGATTACCTTTCTTAGAAGCTTAGTTCATATAGATATTAAATAACATCAGAAAGAGAACTGAGCCCCATGGTGGAACATTTCCCCTATGACTACAGACTATCTATGACTCAGATAAAAGTGGCCCACCATAAAATCTGCCTTTAACCCCAGATGGTTCAAAAGAATATCATTGTTATATTAAATGCTACCTAACCTAACAGGAACAGGAGAGACAAATTTTCACAATCCAGAACCTGCTGAAGTTCAGCCACCAGAGTGAACAATCCTGTGTCAGAGGACTCGGGTACTTCTATACTCTGTGTTGTACTATATATAATTCCTCAACAATAATTCCCCAAAAAGGAGTAACTGAAGATTAGGTGAAAACCCTAAAGACAGCTAAAAAGAAGACATACCAGTACCTCTTTCAAGAATGGTAGCATTCCACTCTCTCAGGATGATTAGGGGACTGGAGATTAAAACATATGAAGAACGGTTACAGGAACTAGGCATGGCTAGTCTAGTAAAGAGAAGGACCAGGGGAGACATGATAGCAGTCTTCCAATATTTGAGGGGCTGCCATAGAGAGGAAGGGGTCAATCTATTTTCTAAAGCCCCTGTAGGCCAGACATTGAAGAATGGATGGAAACTGAACAAGGAGAGATTTAACCTGGAAATAAGGAGAAACTTTCTGACAGTGAGAACAATCAACCAATGGAAACAGCTTGCCCTCAGAAATTGTGGGAGCACCATCATTTGAGACCTTCAAGAAGAGATTGGACCGCCATTTGTCAGAAATGGTGTAGGGTTTCCCACTTGGGTGGGGGGTTGGACTAGATGACCTATAAGGTTCCTTCCAACTCTGATTATCTGTTATCTGTTAGTAATTAATTCAGCCGCTCAAAAGTGCCAGGGTGAACATGGGTCCAGACCAGAGTTTATACTTATTTATTTAGCATATGGCATTGGTACTTGAAAGCTAGGAGTCTATAATGTTATTACAGGGTAGATGTTTGGCTTCCTAAGACTGCTAGTTCATTCAGTTCATGCTCATGTGCTATCCAGGGTGAACCACAAGAGGCAAACTTGTTCGACACACGAACCAATTAATGGTGTTCTGTGGGAATGTTAGTCATCTGGGGATTTTTCTCCACCAGTTTTCGCCTCACATTTGAGCTGGTCCGCCACTGGTTGGTTATTTGCTTCCACTATTAGTTCCACCAAAGTAATAACTATTTATTTGCTTGCATCTGAATACTTTCAAACTGCTTGGTTGGCAGAAGCTCAGGCAAATGATGGAAGCTCACTCTATCACATGGTGCTAAGACTTGAACTGCTGGAATGCAGAGAACCCTCTGGCTGACACATCCAGCTTTTACAAGCTGCTGAGCCACCATGCCTCTTACAAAGTTTATACTATACAGGATTTTATTAATTTCCCCAGATTCCATGAGCTCAAAAGAATATTAGCTGATATCAGAAGATGTTACTCTTGTCCCCTGGCATGGTTCTGTCATCTAATCCAGAGCAAATATTAGTGTCTTTATCTGTAAAGAAACCTGCAAAAGCTTCACAACTGTCTGTAGGTGTCTTGTCTTCTACATCTGTCCTCAATTCATCAGGCAGGAATCCAAAGGAGCAAAGAAATATACATATGTTGATATTTTATTGCCATTATGTAAGCTGAAACTCAAGCATGCATCAGTGCTTGGTTGTGTTTGTTTATGGTTTTTCAATATTGTATTTTATTTATTAATATAAAAATATTAAATTTGTTTGCCACCCATCTTGCTACAATTTTACTTTATTCCTTATATTTCCTTGGAGGACCAATCATCCAGCTGGTATTCTGAAGTAGAAAGTAGCCAGTGAGAAAAAGATCACTGGTTGCCCCCACAATCATTGGGCAACACCCAAAGTGCCCTCTAGAAAACCTCAGGATCAATTAGGCTCTGGTGTGGATCATCCTAATAGGTCTATTGCCCCAAGGAGTCCTGTTTGCTCATGATCTGTCATTCAATAAAGGTGATTCCGAGCTTTAAAGGACTTTTTGAAATGTTTACTAAAAGCCTTCTAAGCCTTCCAATTCTGACAGATTCCCCAAAGTATAGAAAAATGATTATGGGCCAGTTCAGCTAATCTGATGAGCTGACAGAACAGGCTTGTATAATAATGCAGTACCTTTCTTCTTCAGATCTAATATAAAACTCACCTAGGAACACTGCAAACCTAGTCAGATGTCTTTTAACTTGGTTCACAAAAGTGTTATATTAAAATGCACAGTAATGTAACGAGTTGACAGTAATAGATCATGTTCTTGCTTCCTTGCATTTATTTTCTCCCACCATTAATGCTCAGTCACAACTATTTTCAGGTTGCACAAATCATATAATACTTTTAACTAAAGCCTGAAATTCATATTAAGGATATCTGTACACTCTTCATTTGGAAGATCAATCAAGTTTATTTATCCTGGATATATGAATGTGACATGACTAATGGCCCATCTATTTCCTAGAGGCAGAAGGTTAATGCTACTGCCATTGGTTGAGAGCAAGATTGTTTATACAATGTGAAGAAAAAAATTGCATTGATAAAATTAATATTTGTTCATTTGAAAAGGGTTGAGTTTTTCCTAAAACAACAACACGGAAGCTCAATTAAATAAGCACTGACATTCATGAGACCCCAACTGCTTGTTAATTGAATCAATGCCCTCACCCACATTTTTTGAGGGAGGGTTTACATTCACCTTCCATTCAAATCTTTTAATTTAATAAGGCCTTTGAAGCATTTTTATTTCTTATCTAAAAGAATACTCTGCAATACATCTATTACTAAGCCAAATCCAGGATAAACCACTTTTATCTACTTAAGTAATTGGCAGAGTATGCAGCACTTTTGAAAAGTCCCATTATCCCTTTAAGGGAAACATAGCAATATTCATTTTAAAACACGCAGCCACAAAGCAATGAAGCAAAGCTTCTTTACATATATGCCAATTTGCATGGGGCCACATTCCACCAGTTGGCTGTTTGGAGAAAATTAAGAAGGGAGAAGAAACAAGGCCAAACAATAGGCCACAGTCCACATCACAGAGGCAACAACTGTGGGAGTGTCAGTTTCTGTCTTGCTGACTGAATGAAATGTATACAAGAAATGAAACACATCAAGGATTAGAAGCTGTATATCCAGAATGAATAAGCAGAATGACAAGATTGATACTGACAGTATTCTAATCACACTCTGTTCTCAAATGAAGGTTTTCCTAATGTTACCTCCAGGAGTTTCAGCGCAACACCAGCTGTTGCTTAAATATTGGCTGTAAATTAATCAATTATTTCCAAGGATCCTTTCCTAGCAACATCTTCTGCCTGTCTCTGAATCTTGAGACATCAGCATTCTCAGGGATTTGGTTAATATTTGGCTGCCTGAATCCAAATTGTCTTAGAAGATGGGGCCAGCACAGCCTCCCTGCAGGTCCTGAGTTTTGGGCTTGTGGAACTCTACCTTGTCCTTGAATGCAGACAATTCCAGTGGAATATGATAGCCTTACATTTTCATTCGTAAACATCCAATCATACGAACTTTAAGAACAGAATTAAGAAGGAAAGTTTCCATTATATTCAGCTACATGTGCAATCTTTTTCTAGAAGTCTGCTAATGATTACTTTCATTTGCTCTGTTGTACTATTTAAATTAGGCATGGGATTTTACCAGTTTTCAGTAAAGTTTTAAGAAAATATGTATCAACACAATCTTTGAATATATTGATTTTAGCAAAATTAGTTGGAAAATTCAATATTACCAGCTTTAGATTTTTTTTTCCTCACCAGCAAAATTTATCAGACTGAACTTTGAATATATTCCATCTCTAAAATATTATTGTTTTAACACATGAAAGAAGATGAAAATTCAAGGTTCTTACTGTGAAGTAGAACTGTTCAGTCTCCTGTTGATTGGCTCGTCTCTTGGCAATGCTTGGCTTGCTCATGAAGGTCTCAGAAACTGTTGATTTTACAGACTCCATAGAATTGCTATACTGGAAGCAATCGGATACATCAAAATCTTCAATAGTGACAATATCCTGAATAGTCTGTAGTGTGGCTTCCATTGTTTTTTTAACCTGACATAGAAATTGAAGAAGGAAAAAAATATAAAAAGTGAGGCTAAAGCATAATCAATAATATACTATTGCAATACAAAGACCTTCTGTAGAGATGCCGAGAAAGAACAAATCTAATTATGTATCCTATATGCCATGAGAGTGATCTCGTCCTATTTCTAGGACATGATTTCTACATTTGAGTAACTTCCTTTTAAGAGTGATTTCAATACATCATCTTTAGGGCAGGTGACGTATGCCTACCGTCACCTCAAAGAAGCATTGGCAATTTCCAGTTTCCAGTCACTTGTGTCTGACTTGGCAGCCCACAGAAGACAGGAAGAGATTGCATTAAAAAGGTCGTTAGAGATCTTATCCTGCCCACCAATGTGGATGTTGGTCCACTAATGTCTAACCCAGAATGGCTTTATATGCATGCTATCAGGCTTTGGACTAAATGCCATGAAAAAACAGGAATATGGAGACATATCAATGAAAAGAGGGAAATTCTTATCGGAGGTGTGGAGTTTGGGTTCTTACCTCTTCATTTTCGATCTTCAGAGTGGATAGCCTAGATTGCAGCTGCTGACATCTTTGTACCAACTCACTTTGCACTGGTTGCTGGGCACATAACTGGAATACCTAGAAAAGAATAGGCAGTTTTGCAACTTTCCAGACACTTGCTTCTAGTTCTTCACTTGTGTTAAAACTCATGATCAAGTATGAATGAGATATCTGCACTGGGCCATAGGATTATGAAACAAACCAGGAAACAAATTATTTTTAAATAAAATTCAATAAACAACAATTGCCTGAATGTTCACAAATACAGTCATACAGTTTACTTTATACAATGGTGAGGCTCACACACTGGAATAAACCAAAAGGGTAGAGGACAGAGGGGAGATAAGTGGGTTCAAGAAAAGGAAGTCCCTTCCCTTACAGAGGCTTGGGACTAGAATGGACCAAACCAGGAATGACGCTGGTTCATTCCTTGACTAATGTTCAGTGGGATTTGGTTAATTGTGGCAATTTGTCACAATTTTGGGGACTTGCCATTGCAAAAACAATGCAGTCAGGTGACATTGTGTTTTATGACTTCATCACTTAGTGACAGAAATTTTGGGCCCAATTATAGTCGTTAATAAAGGGCTACCTGTATATATACAGAAGTGTCACCAGTGAATATGGAATAGCTGTTTGTTTGAAAACTGGAACAACACTGCATCACGATGAGCACACTAAGTTATTTGGGCTTATAGCATGCGTTCAGTACTAAAGGACTATTCACATTGCTGTAAGAGTCCTTGGTCAAACATGACTATAGTTTTTTCTGCTTCCTATATAGAGTTTTAAATTATGTCTAGAGTGAATATTGCAATGAAAATATATTCAGAGAAGGGTGGAGGGGGAACTAACCATGTCACCCATGTGGGGCTGAAACTCAAACTTCATGGGTGGGCAGAAGACACTGTTACACATTTCCATCAGACGTTGCTTGTCACTGTTGGCATCCAGATTTTCAACAGCATTCTCAATGGCATCCAGGCCTTCGTGCTTTGATTGTTCTAGATTCAGCTCTGCAGATAGGAATGTCCTAAGTGCCCTACCAAGGCTGGCATGATATCCTAGGTCACAGCACTGCTGGAAAAAAACAACAACAGGAAAGTAAAAACCAAAGTAAAACTCAAAATGTTGAAGGAAAATTTATAAATGATACAATATACAGATAAATAAAATAGACAAATGATCTTCTCAAAAGATTTATTGTTCTCTGGAAGTCAGTGGTTTTTACACTAAAACGTAACTTTATTTAATAAAGATAGAGGCTCCCCAGATTGTATGAGACCTGATTTATATAAATTCAACTTTACACAAATGTTTTTATAAGCCACATTTAAGGTCAGGAAAAAATGGTTATACTGGCAGTGCAAAGTAGTACAGCTCACAGCTGAATATCTTATTTACACAGTTTGAATTTGTAAAGCTTTCTTTCCACAACTGATATGAGAGCACGTGTAATAAGTATTTTCCCTTAAAAAAAAAACGCATCACAGAAACAATTTGTATTGTGCCAGATTACGACAACGAATTGCTTAAATTGAAAACATATAGCAATTTGTTTTAGGTGGTGGAATTATAAAACACAGCTCAATCTGACATAACAGAATCACTACTGATTTATCCACTGATTTATCCACTGATCCAGCCCACAATAACTTATCTTCTTAGATAACTTCAATCTTCTGAACTGGGACTATTCTCTGCTCTTCTGCTCCCAGAAGTCTCTCACCTCTTTCCTCCTGTTCTTTTACCAAAAACCTGACTGGATTGGCACCGATTACTTTACCTAGCTAAGATCCTATAACTAAAATCTCAGGAAAACTTCGCACAGTAGACAAGTCATCTTTAAGACACAGAGCTAAATGTTAGGCAAGAACTGTGTTCCTGTTTTGGCATTCATATACTGACTAGAACACCAGACATTAAGAACTTTTACAAAAAGCACAGAGAAAATGTGCATCTGACATCTAGTTGAGGGAAAACCCTAATTAGTTTGTAGAGGAGAAGATAAACAAGTAGCTTGAAAATAAAATAAAGTTAAACATCATTTAGCAATTGCACACTTTATCTAGGATAAGTCTTCATTCAAAAACTAGGAAACTAATGCTTTTCTAAAATATACATATTCAGTAAATGTTTGTCATTGTATGGCATTGTATGAATAAATGGATGTGAGCAGGTTATCAAAATAAATGTGTTCTATCCCATGGGCATGTGGCCCTTGCTCATGCTGGCTAATCATATCAAGAACCTGCTGATTGGGTCTATGAAATAATATGAAATAATAAATACACCTCTGCAAAGGTGGCTTTAAGGTACTTCAAAAGAAGAAACTACAAAGCCTCTCTTGAAGAAATCAGTCCTGCAACTCAAAGATGCTTTCCCTACTACCGTGTTTCTCATATAATAAGGCCGGGTCTTTTTTTTTTTTTTTTGAGCCCCGAAAAAATGGCTAGGCCGTCTTTTCGGGGGTGACTTAATTCCCTCCTCCCCTTGCATCTTCGGGCGGGCGGCGACGGCTTGGATGTTGACCTCGGCGTTGGTGGGGCACTTCGTATTGGGGTCACCGCAGGCAGCACCATATCCGGGTGTGCAACAAAAGTACTTCCTAACGGCAAGCCCCCCCACCATTTCGCATGTTTTAATATAGGCCTTAATTTGGGGGGAGGGGCTTAATTTCATTTCATGCCTATAAAACATGCTGGGACTTCCTATTGGGGGAGGCCATATTGTTGGAGAAACAGGGTATGAATGAAATTCAAGTACTCTTCTGCCTGCTTCCAGAGAAAGATGCCTATTATAGGATGCTTGGATGCTAATGTAGGAGCATGTAAAAGAAAGAGCAAAAACTTGTTAAGTAAGATATGTAATCAAGTAGCATCTGATAAAGAAACAGATATTTACCACAATATCCAAAATAGAAATCTGAAGTATTTCCACACTTATTATATTGTTACTAACAACAAATCTGTTATTTTTCAAGGCAAATTATATGAAAATAAACTCCTGCCCTCACTTGATGAGAAAAAAAAACCTATGTATCAGTAGAAGAGGGACAATAGTTTCAACTGGTGAGAGGGAGGGAGGGAGGGAGGGAGGGAGGGAGGGAAGGAAGGAAGGAAGGAAGGAAGGAAGGAAGGAAGGAAGGAAGGAAGGAAGGAAGGAAGGAAGGAAATCTGCTAAATGGATAAGTATCTACTTGTTTGGTAGAAGTCACAAGCTTACATCTGCCCATACTAGACAAGTATTGCACATAAATGGTGAAACAGAAATGCCATGAATGAAATGAACATGTGCAAAAGAGGAATCAGAAAGATGGGAGAGAATGTGGTTAAACTGAGTCCTCCAATAACCTGTTCACTGTCACATGCTTGGGTACAGTGCCAAAAGTCTGGGGCAGGTGTTGAGAGTCTACTTGTAAAGCAGCAATTGTTGGCTTTACTGGAAGCAGGCAATAAATTTAGGCAATACACAATAAATTTAGTCAAGAAGCATAAAAACTAAATAAGGGTTTAAACAAAAAACGGTTGATTGAGAATCTGCACGTCGAGGCTATTTTCATTCATAAATATTCAGCAGTATCAGCTTTGCAACCAAATTAACATTCCGTGTTTTTCACAGATCAAGGAAGAGAAATCGTGGGAATCTTGCCAATGAGGGAAGTCACCAAAAATTTCAAAAAGACTAATATTAATGTTAATATATGATTTACTCTATCGGAGTTAGAGCCTTGTGAATAAAGCTTTCTCAGGTGCAGGTTTCTATTTCATAGAATAGCTTCTCACCATTGGATTCCTTTCTATAAAACCAGATTAAGTAATCTGTGTGGGAGTGGATGGGAACAGAGTAGATGATTCTATTTTTATATCTCCATTCATGGAGTCTGAACTTGAAATTATAATTTATAATCCCCATTGGAAATCAGAAGAAGAAAATTAATTCACCTAGGTTTTCCAGCTCATTTCTCAGCACTCCTTCCTCATTCTTTGCATTTTACAATATCCTTAAATTACATTTGCAAGTGTATCAGTCTCATCTTTCTTTCTTGGTTATATAAATACTTGATGGAAAAAATTTTCCAAAGATTTTTTTAAAAAATAAGAATTCAAACAAATTAAATTCTCAACATGACAGATTAACCCTTCATCCACTAAAACTACCTTGAAATACAAATCTTGTAGGATAGAGGACAAGAAAATGTCCAACATTCCAAAATTCAGTACAAAAAAATATGTCTGACCACACTTTTATAGGTTGCACATCTATTGTGTAAAAGTACATTGATTAATATATAGATACAAATTCAGTAAATGAAGTTTACTGCCTACAAGAGGGTCAAGATATTTAAATTTATAACTGGAACAGTGGGGGTTGTGTAAAGAGAATAGACAGTTTTAGATGATTGATTAAAGAGAGCTGGCTACCTGCATGAAGCAATCTAAGCTGTGACTGGTTGCTTTGACTAAAAAGGGAGAGTCTCCTTATTTTCCGCCTTTTTGGCTTGTGTCCTATATATGGTCTCTGTTGATTTAGCTGATGATGTTCCTGTTGTGTTGATTTACTGTCTATGCTCCTTGTTTGCCTCTCTTATTTACTGTAAGTATATTTATTTATATAAAATCACAACTTCTTGTCAGCGTCTCTCCATTTGGACACCGGCTGCACAATTCCCTAACCAAGAGATTCCTCCTTTTTTTGTTTTGATTGTTCCTTATAATTAATCTTGAATTATTTTCTTCTTTCTTTTACCATATAGATCAGGAGTGTCAAACTAGATTTCTTTGAGGGCTGGATCAGCATTGTAGTTCTCCTCCGTGGGCTGGGGGAGAGAAGGGATGGACGCCTCCAGCAGCACCCTGCTGGCCAAAATGGGGGCCGGGGGGCACATATGGCCCCCCTGCACTCCATTTTGGCCAGTAGAGTGCTGTAGGAGGCCATCCAGGCCAAAAATAGGGTGCAGGGGGCCACATGTGGCCCCCTGCACCCCGTTTTGGCTGCCAGAGGCACCGTAGACTGCTCCTTTGCTATTTCCAGGCTGGCCCCAGGGGCCAGATTTAAGCACCCCATGGGCTAGATTCGGCCCATGGGCCTTGAGTTTGACACCCCTGATATAGATGGTGTAAAGTAAACTATTCTAATGTAGTAATTTATACTTTTGGCAATGCAAAAATAAAACACATATCAAAATTCTGGGATGCTTAAATACTTGTGTGATGACCCGGGGCGTGGCACAATGACAACACAGTCAAATCAGCAATAACAGTCCCTTTATTATCTGCAACTTTGCCCCCAATGTCTAGGTTACCTTCGGCTGGAGAAAAACTGTCCCAGGAACAGCCTTTAACTATAGAAAATTCAGTCCAAAACAAGGTACACACAAACTGTAACTTAAAATCCAAACAAACCAAACTGAAGTAATTAGCTTGACAGGGCAGGAGAAGGAATTTCAGACTTGAAAGCAGGGCAAAACTCACACAGTTGGAAGACGCCAGGAACACAGATAAGCCACAACGATACAAGATAATTTCACGTTTGCTCCCAACAGCTTTTTTATACACTGCGTTCCCAACTGCAGCTAATGAAGGGAATCAGGGCCCTTTCCTCTCCCGTAAGCCATGCAACTCACGTTGCTCCCTTCTCCGTTCCTCCCTGCATGCCCTAGGATGAAGAGGGGATGGGCCTGGGTCTTCGTCTGAATTCCCTCTCCCTTGCTCTACTTCTCCCCTGCTCTTGCCCAGCTGGACTGTGCCCTTCCCCAGTTTCTTCCACAGCCAACGAAGCCACACTCCCACTCCCTGTCAGCTATTCGGCCTCTCCCTCCAAGTCGTATTCTGACAGGGGCTTGATACAAAAATGGATAAAGCAGTTAATAAAAAATTTCAAATTAGAAAAAGTTGTATATGAAGTACATTTGGATTTTTATGAATCATGTGGATTTTATCAATATAGATTTAGACCAACCGAGATTTAAATTCAGTATAGATTAGCCTGACAAAACTAGAAAAGATGGACTTGTCTATCCCTACTACTAAGCAGTGTACTGAAAGAGGAAGCCAATGATTTACTTGTTTGAACATTTATTTCACATATCTTCCTTAATCTGTTGCACTGGGACTGAAAAGACCAATTACACTTATGAATATTTTCTGTTTCTCAGCCCAATCTCATAGGGTTGACTGCTGTAGTGAAAAACCAAGTAAGACATGTTAAATATGCCAGCACATGTATCCTAAAGGAAAGACCAGCTGTAGATCCATTGAACGAGGAGAAATGTTGATATATTCTTTGTGTAATCTTAATGCATTCCTATATAACCTTAAAAAAATTCACCATTCCTCTCAACAAATTGGGTTGGTTTCAAGATCATTTGGATAAATGAGGTTGTTTGAATCTTTCAGACATTTAAGATGAATTGCAACCCATTTTAAGCATTTTGTTGTAATTCCTGGAAATCATTCAACCAGTAAGTCAATATACAAAATAAGAAGAAAACATAAGGTATTCATAAAAAAAAACTATGAGATAAAGACATGGCTATTTTATAGTACGTCTCACTGATGTATGTAAGTTAAGATTGTTCCTAAAGCTTTCTATAAAGGTTGAGGAATATGCAAACTCAAAAAAATGATATTAAAATAAGGGAAGTACCTGACAATTGCAGAATTTGGTTTGGCTAATTAATTAGCGCCATGTTTAAATACTGTTGTCCTTCGATAATTGAATGAAACACAGATGGAACACAGATAAAAGATAAAATCTCCATATGGACTTCGGCCATTGAAGAAATTAACTGAGGAGAACAACATAATGAGGCTTGAAGCAGAAACATTCAGGAAATACACCACCAAAGTACACTTACATCAATGAGGTCTGACAGGTCATGGATATAATACTTGAATACAGATGCATTGGTGGCTTCCAGAGCCAGCAGATATTCATTCCTTGCCTTAATAGCCTTCAGTTTATTTTCTGTGTATTTTGCTTGGCGCTGAAAAATATACAAATGGATTTTTATAACAAAATAATTAAGACGAGGAAAGCAATTGCCTTGAAAGCAGGAAAAAAATTCTGCAAAATCAAGGAATTATTTTACTTTCTTTTTAACCCAGACTAAGAAACCTTAACACTTTTAGGAAAAACAAATGCATCATATAACAATGACTCAAATAAATGTTGAATCATGAAGAGACAGGAAGGTAATCTAATCCATAGATGGCCAGAAAGTGGCTCATAGGAACACATAAAGTTAATATATCCAATGCTAGAAGCATTTTTGCATCCTGAAGATCCCTGCAAAATTTTATTTGGCTTTGATATGAACACGGAGGACTGACATCAGCAGGAGGTACTAAAGAGCCAAGTGTGAACCATGGTCTGATACCCAAATCATCCAAATTGCAGGGACCGATCATGTATCACTAGAATTTAATATACCAACTGCACTAAACAGCTGGAAACTTAGACCCGCACACATATTTACATTCCTCTGCCCATAAGAATAGGAAACAGCCCTTCCTGACCTAGCCCAATCAATATGTGAATATCGTATTTATGGAACATTAATAATTTAAACCTTCATCATAAAGTTAAAGCTAATTCAAGATTGATTGATTTCATTATTTGAAAAAAATCCAAAGTGGGTGACATTTATAAATATTTTACAATAAATTAGAATAATTAGAATTAAGTTGTTACGACTTTATTTATTAACAATTGAAATCCTAAATACAACGCAGTATAATTCTGAACCAGATGGGAAGGCACAGCAGCATCTGTCTACCCAAATATTTGGTGAAGAAGTCTTAAACTGTCATCAAATTACGTTTATGATGGTAGCTGTCAACAGCATCTGAAGCAAAAGGAAATCCCATAGCTAAGACTGTGGAATCCAGGAAATCTTCCTATAAGGGCAAATTACATATAGTCCTCGAGTCATTGGGACCAGGACTGCTATTGTTAAGTGATGAGGTTGTAACATGTGATGTCTTGTGACCGTATCGTTTAGTGATGATGATCCAGGCAATCCCAGAAGCTGCCATAATCCCAAGATGTGTGGGTCATTAAGCAGGAATTAACAGGACCCATAGGTAATGAGAGTGTCAGTGCCACATAGGTATGGGGAAAATCCTGGAAGACCCTGGACAAGCTGCGCACAAGTTGGAGAGGGGGGTGCTGCAGTGTGGCACAAGTGAAGGGAAACTGGAAAATAAGGGCACAGAGTGAAATGTGAGAATAGAGAGGCTTAGGGAAGGACAATGTAGGGAAGCCCACGGAAGGTGAATGCCGAAGGTGAATGCCCATTGCTTGCAAGATGAGGGAGGACTGGGAAAGGAAGATGCCTCTGTGTGTGTGTGTGTGTGTGTGTGTGTGTGTGTGTGCGCGCGCGCGTGCATAAGCAGGTAGGGAAGGAGGATGCTGGTGGGCGTGCAGAGAGGAAGGTGGTATAGTGTGTGTGAATGAACAAAGGGGAAAGAAAGATGTTATGTGTATATGAAAAGGAAGATGGGAAGGAGACCACAGTGCATGCAAACAAAGAAAAGCAGGGGTGCATGAGATTTACTCAACAACTTGTGATCTTCCCTGTAGGCTTCCCCATTGACTCTGGTCTTGGTAAGTCAGCAGGGAAGGCCACAAATGGCAATCAAGTGACCATGGAACACTGAAATTGGTCCTAAGTGCAAGCTAGTTTTCAAGTGCTCTAATTTTGTTCATGTAACTGTGGGGTTGCTACAATGGCTGAAACTTGGAGGGTCAGTTGTAAGTCTCTTTGTTCAGTACTGTTCTAATTTTGAAAGCCAAGGAAAGGTCAGTCACTCAATGAATGGTTGTAACTTGAGGACTATCTGAATACTGCATTGAGGAACAAGGTGGGGGGGAATCCATTGGCTACGCGTATTTATTTTACTTGCTTCATGCTTACTTCTATAAAGGTTGAAAAAGAAAGAAAAGAAAAGAGTGCTTGTATTTCTGTATCTCAATACAATGAACTTTTCCAATTAAAAATATTACTTCTTAATACAATACATCCAAGATAGTCTACTGCAAATCTTAAGCCTTTTTTTCAACCTTTTAAATACAGCCTCTCTGCCTATGGCACTATATTACATGAACTCTGCAAGTTAAAACATTTAAATATCCAATTGCTAACTGCTTGATACGTAGTATCTTTATGTACATGTCTTTATGTACCATGCTAATTAGTTTCAGTTCGAATGCATTTACATAGCTGACTAGGGATAAGAAGAAATGGATGAGTGGCAAAATGACCTTCTTATGCTTTTGGTTCCTGTAGCTCCTCATTCCATCTCATGAATGTGCATGCCTAAATATAGTTTCTAGATCTCAGAATAATCCCTGAGCCATTAGGCTAGTATTTCTGCTATTTCCCCATTAAATAGCTCTTCCCCCTTAATGCCCTGATAGATATTCTATTGTGTATTAGATTCACAGTGAACACTCAGCAGCTGCTCTTGGTGAAGAGAGCTTTGCAATTATCCAGCATTTAACCCTGTTGTGCACTCACCTTCTCTTTCATTTTCTCAATCTTCTTGACTGAGCTCCTTCGGACATGCTTTTCTTCAAACTTGACACTGGAGGCTGAATCAGGGGAGCGCGGAGTTTGCTTTTCCTCCTGCTTCACAGACTTACCAATCTGTTTTTCTTCTTGCTTCTCTGCCTCTTTCAGCTTGCTTTGGGCACTGATGCTGTCAGCATTGTACATATGATAGGTCTTCATTACCTGCAAAGGCAATTCTCACTTAGGAAGCACCTTACTGTTTTTTGTTTTTTTTTTAATTTCACTTGCAAACACCTAAACCAAACAGTCAACCAATGCCTTCAATGCGAACTTAAAATTCAAACAGAAAAATACCTATAACTATTCTACAAGCCTACCGTATAGGCAGTCTCTAATTTATGATGGCAACTGGGACCGGAATTTCCATTACTAAGTGATGCAGACGTAAAGTATGTCTGCATTGCTTAGCAACAGCAACCCCTGCAGTCCCAATTGTCATCCTTAATCAAATCCCATCATTGTTAGGCAAGGCAACTTCCTGACAATTTCCACAATCAAGTCAATGGGGAAGCTGGTGGGAAGTTGTAAGTCCCAGGTGACTCACGAGCAGGCTGGCAAGCAGATTAAATGGCTGCTACAGGGTGAGAGAAGGCACGAGGGGGTACACAGAGGTGTGAAGAAGATGTGGTAAGGCTCGGGGAGGTGGAAAGGAGGCATAGCACGGCTCAGGGACAGTGTGCAAAAGTGCAAGGGAGGGAGGCATAGCAAGGGTTAATGAGCATCCATAAGGGTGCAATGAGGATACAAGGAGGTGAATAAGGAGGTGTGGTGAGGGTCAGGAAAGGTATGAAAGAGGTGCAGCAAGGATCAGGGAAGGTGTGCAAAGGAGGCACGGTGAGGCTCAGGAGGGGTTATGTAGGTGGGGAAGACTTATCCCAGCAAATTTGATCACGGGGTGCTGCAACTAATCTTAAGTGCAAGCTGGTTGCCAAGCATCAGATCATGATCATGTGGCCATGGGGGTTATGGGATGGCGTGAACTCTCAAGAACAGGTTCATTCAGCACCATTATAGCTTTGAATGGTTGCTGAAAGAATGGTCATAAGAACCACTTATAGAACTCAAAAGGATCAGCAAAAATATGGAACATTTTAAAACTCTCATGTGATTCTAATGGCTAAACCAGCGCCTCTATTATTTCATTCTAACTCTGCTTGTCAAGATTTGCTGGGAGTTTTTCTTTCTTCTTATTAACAAATAATTTTTATTAAAGAAATTTTTAAAAGAACAATATCAATTTTGAAAGAAAAAACTATAGTAGTAAGTGAAAAAGTGCAAAGAAATAGAGAAGGAAAGAAAATAAAAGTTATAAAGAAGCAGCTTTTGATACTGAAAACAGTTAGAAGTACATTTATATTTCACCCTCTCTAAAGTTACAACAATCTTTTCTATAATCTACCTTTTTAAATAATCAAACCCATAAATCACAAGTTCATTTTTTTATTTTTTAGCAAAAAAAAAAATCCATTAAGAGGCTTCTAGTCATTAACAAATGTGGGTTTTGTCCTTTCTCTAGTCAGACAAGTCAACTTTGCATCTTTGCTGATTGCGTCATCTTCACCAGCTGTTCCTTCATTGTGGTATTTCAGATTCTTTCCATTTTTGTGCATGAAATAATCTTCCAGCAGTTATCATATATATATAAAAACAGCTTTCCATAATGCTTTTCTAATTGTTTATCCATTACTTCTGATAAGAAAATGTCTGCTTTCAAATGAATATGAATCTTTAAAATTCTTTATTTTTAACCCACTATATTTGAAACCCATTCCCCCTTTTTTTTCTTTTTTGCAACTTCACCAGCCATGATGAACTGATCTTTCACATTTTCCTCATTTCCAACATAAACTGAAAATATTTTTATACATTCTAAATAATTTCTCTGGAGACTGTAGCGTTTTATAAAATTCTCTTTTAAAGTATAACATAATGTAAATTTCAGTCCTTTCAGCTATGTATTTCCTATTGTTCCTTAATACATTATGTCCAAAATTCTTCAGAGTTTTTCTTATATTTGTGTGAATGACAAAGTTAAGGACTTAGCTTTAGCAGAGCCCTTAAACATGTGAGACGCTCTACTTGGGTTCAAGATCATTTATTTAAAAACTCTATTACAGGCCCTGCCATTTGACCAGGCCAATTGGATGGAGAGTTTGCCTATTGGGACTGGTGTAGCTAAAGACATCTACTTTGGTCATTGTGCATAGTGGAAATCTCTATTGTAGTCCATACAACAGAGCTCCAATGATTTAAACTTCTACTGCATGAAGTGATACACCCTATTAGCACAAGGCTATAAAAGGCCAGATGAAAGTAGGAAAGAGAGAGGAACAACTAAGAAAGAAGTACAAGAATAATTCTATTTCCAGCTGAAATTTGACTATATAGGATGAGGAGAAAAGGGTCATTAAATAGTATTCCTTTGTTTACCTCAGGAAGTTGTTATCTTTATTTTAAAAAGCAATTACTAGAAGAGAGACCATTTTTTAACTGACTGCATGCTCCACCAGTGCTAATCCTGCTCAGCAATACAAAAGGCAACACAGACAGCAGAGGCTGACTCTGCTAACAAGCAGCCTTTCTTTTTGTTTCTCTACAGTCCCTCCATTGTTTTGGATCAATACTGACTTTTCCCTTTCTCACTGGAGTTTGTTACAAAAAAGTGAGCTCTAATAGTTGAACCACATATTTTGATTCCTGCCCTTCTTTGCATTTTTGGCCCTCTCTGTAACCTTTTGTACTGGGCAAAGATCAAATATCAAAAAATTTAAAAATCTCCAATTTATCTCCTTAGGATAATTAACACATCATTTAGATAGGTTTAAAACAACTTCTGATGGATGAATGGACCGAGAAACGGAGGGACAGACAGGTTTATTTATTGAAAATCAGCTTTATCCTCTCTTTCCCACAGATTCTGATCGAAGTAGCTTACATAATAAATTTTAAAAACTGATTTGAAAAAATGGTATGCAGTCCTCCAATTACATCACAGACCTTCATGAAATATTAATAACTAATAATAACTGCTTTGTAAATGTGTGCTCAAACAGAGAAGAGATGTATGTTCCAATTTTAAAAACCTGCTGCAAGCCAACTCTGGCCTCAAATCCTTCCAGTTTCCAAGCATTAAGCCCCTGAGTCTTCTTTCACCTCAATTTGAACTTGACCGTAATTTTTGTTAGGTGGAATATATGCTCTCACTTTGTTACTCCTTCTGGAGCAATTAAAGCAACACTCCTTAGTTACAGGAAGAAGTAACAGTTAAAAATGCTAACCCACTCAGTATTAAAGAAAGCATAATTTATGTGTACGGTAATTCTGAATCATTATCAGTGAACAGAATTAAAGGTGGCATTTAGAATTGCCTTAAACAGGAAGGAGGGGTATTGTTTCCATGTACTCCTATTCCCATTACTTCTAGTGAAAGACATCAGGCGCAAGGGATCAAAACCATGTAAGTCCCAGTTTTAATGGTTTCAGACATTTAAGGATGTGTCAATATGGTCGATCCATATCTTTCTGCCAAGATTGACATCAAGGTCGAGGGTCAAAGCAATAACATAAGGATTCAATCCTGGAGTCTAGGTATTATTATGAATACCACATGCTATTCTCATAAAGGGATTATATTAAGATGTTAGACGAGCATCTATTTTGCCAGGTCCTGCCTTGTCCTTCTTCCTCTGTCTCTTTTTTAATTAGAACTCTCACACCTACCTACAGGGGCCTTCAGTGAAAGGCACACACATAGGAATGAGCAAAGGAGTTTGTTTTGAGTAGCCCAACTAAATAGAGAAAATAAAACTCATATTTTTTAAAAAAAAATCATACTCTTCATTATTCTATGCTTAATACTATTTACAAAACAGGAACTTGATCATCTTGATCAAACCTTAAAAGAAAAAAAAGAAGAATAATTTGCCTCTGACCATGACACAGCCTTGCCTACTTTGCAATACTGTACCACTTCAGACTTTGTGTTTGAAAGGTTGCTCATGTAAGACCAGATGTAAGACCAGATTCACGGAGGAATCTCACTTTGTTGGTATTTCAAGAAAATAACTGCTAAGAATTTGTACACAGATTTGGAGATATTGGAGGTACGACCTTCTCAGTATGACATTCAGATAGAAGGATTATCTGAAGGAGGCTCTTGAAAACATGTTGAAGAAGAATGCACAAAATAATACCAACATTTTGGAATGGGTTGCTTCCATTTATTTATTTTTTCTTCTGTTCAGTCATGTCTGATTCTCAGAGATTGCCTGGACAAGCTTTCTTGGCAAGTTTTTCATAAGTGGCTTTCCACTCTCTCCTTTCTAGGGCTGAGAGAAAGCCCCAAGATCACTCAGCTAGTTTTGTAACTAAAAAGAACTAACAAGTTTCCTGGTTTCAAGCCTAATGCCTTCACCACTACACTCTAATTGGCTTTACTTCCCTATATATTATTTGCCTATAGAGAAGTGCCATAGGCATTTAGGGGATTCAATCCTTTTGATTTGCTACATGGGAAAAGCTAAGAGGAGTTCCAGGATCAAAGATTATGACTATGTTCTTAGACAAGGAAAAAAAAAAGGCAAAAAACCTCAGTGGCATTATTTCAGGAACACCTGCACAACTGATATCATGCTCTCAAGAGGTGGAAGGAAAAGTGTTTTTTTGTTGCCTCATCAAATGCAAGCTTAAACTAGGTGGCAAAGCATATTTGTGATGATCAGAAAATGGACGCATATGTCACAAAATAGATTTGGAAATGAAAAAAACCACCGAGTTCATACAATTTTAAGAAAGTAGATTGATTCATTAAGAACATATAGATCGATATAGCAAAACAAATATATAGCTATTTACCAGATGCACAGTAAGTATGAAGAGACACATATCTTATCTTTGCAACAAAAAGCAGACCTTAGAACCACTCTTAGAATAAGTCAAGAGTTAAGTTTTATTGACCTTTCATACTGTGAATTCAGTGAATATAACCATAGTGATTTCTCCTAAATTAAATGGAAAATGTTTTTTTTATGCAGACCTAAGATATTTTAACCAAGTTTGATTGGTACTTTATGATAAGAAAAAATGACCAACTAGAACAGTTAAGTAAGGCAAAATACTTATCTACTTTAGACTAAAGTAAGGACTATTAGCAAATGCCTTTC